CCCCAAAACCCCAAAACCCCAAAACCCCAAAACCCCGAGCGAGAAGGTATAAATAGAATTTATCCAAATCTTTAACATAAATAAAATGGCTAGAACAAAGCAAACTGCAAGAAAAAGCGGAGGAGGTAAAGCTCCAAGAAAGCAATTAGCGATGAAGACACCATCATTATATAGTAAGTTTCAAAGCAAAAAGAGAGAGGATTTACCACTTGCGAGTGTTGAGCTGCTGATATTAGTTAAAATAACCCTCGTATCTTCTATTGCTTGGCAAAAATCAAAGATATCTAAAAGCTCTTGAGTGTTTTAGATACTGAGTCATCACCATCGCCTCTATCTAAACCCCCTATACCTACTCCATCATCACCCTAGCTAAACTCGTACTAGACTCTTCGTTCTCAAAGCTTGAGGTTCAAGAATTAAGATATTTTAAAATCTTTGAGCAAATCCTTTTGAACCCCCAAGTCACATTCTCTATTCTCCCTATTCAATTTCTTGATTTATTTGGATTCAGAATTCGCCAGATCTCAATTGTAGTTATTCTTGATAAATTCTGAAATATCTTTGTGTGACTCTCGACTGTATCTTTCCTAAGCGGCCCTAATTACTTGGTATAGACACCGGAGGTCTCTTCGCAAGACCAACAAAGATGGCGGTGAAAAAGAGTGCACTGAAAAGAAGGCCCACTGCAAAGAAGGCAGCTAGGAGATCTACAAAAGCATTTTCAAAAAAGGCCAGGCCTGATAGACTCTGGGACCAGAATCAGTTTGGGACCACTACTTCACTGAAGAAAAAGGCTGATGGAGGATCTAATAGCCAAAATGAGGTCCTAGAGGTTTTTACGAAGCTGTTGTCTAAGAAAATGAAGAAGAGCCTCGACCAAGAGGATCTGAGAGGTCATACTCCTCTCATCATTGCTATCAGAAATGGCTGGTACAATATGGCAATGGATCTTATTAAGAAAGGATTTTATGATGAGAACAGAGTTGATGTCTATACTAAGCTATCTCCTTTGCATCATGCAGCTGCTATTAATGATGAGGAGTTCTTGAGTCTCCTTATCAAGACCTTCCCTAATCACGTTAATTCTAAAGATATGAAGAAAAATACTCCATTGCATTATGCGAGTCATAAGAGAAATAAGAAGTATATGGAACTTCTGGTAAACGCAGGCGCTACAGTGAATGCAAAGAATGTTGAAGGAAACACTCCTCTCCATTTTGTCTGTTTAAGCAACAATCCACAAAATGACCACTCAGTCAAGATAGAGGAGCTGCTGATTACAGCTAAGGCAGATGTAAACAGCAAAAACAACAGAGGAGAAACACCTCTTCACATGATTTTCAAAACGTAAGATTTTATCAGAATTCGCCGGTTTTACTTTGTGCAATTCTTACTGTTTTATAGAGAGAATGATAAGAACGAACTTATATCTTCAGGAAAGTTCGACCCAATCGCCATCCTAATGGTGTTGATCAAAGCAGGTGCAGATGTAACCATCGCCACAGACTCTAAGCTAACGGCTCTCCACTTTGCATGCATCAAGGGGTCAACCATTTCAGCTCTGACTTTACTCAACAATGGAGCGGATTGTGATGCTCAAGATCTGTTTGAGACAACACCTTATGGGTATGCTCTGAAGAACAACCACGAGGATCTCTGTATCTTCCTTATTCAGAAAGAAAATGATGTTGATATCCCCATCAACGAACTGGTGGTGGACGATGAGCATATCTGTAATCAGCTTGGAGAAATTAGAAATATGATAAATTCTGAAGAAGTCATGGGGCTTTTGGATAAAAAGAATGAACTAGAAGGTTTGAGTGATAAGGAACAGCTCGACAAAGAGTACAAGAAGCTCAAAGCTCATAGTCCTTTCTACTATGCTATTAAGAACAACATGCAAGGAAACATCTTCCTTCTGTTGCAGAAAGGGTTTGATCAGTATTCTGCCCTTTGTGAATCAATCATTCATAACAAATATAACTTCTTTTTATCTGTGATTGACTCTATTGATACAAAAAATCTTCACAAGGAAAAGACTGATGAAGGGAAGAATCTTCTTCACATTATTGCAGATAACTATAACCCACATCAGGTTGATAGGGAATTGTTTGACGAAGTTTACAAGCTCATTATCGATCTTGGATTTGACACTGATGCTCAAGACAACTATGGAAGAATCCCTCTTCATTATGCTTTAAAGAACCAAAACTTAGATATTACTACTAGACTTCTTGAAGGAAAGAAAAATAGAATTGACCTTCTCAACTCTAAAGACGATGAAGGTCTTAGTGCTTTCAGTATGCTCTACGACCAAGTTTCAAGGAGCCCAGATTCAGGAAGCCCTCTTGCCAAATTTGCTGATTTGCTAGGAGAAGATATTGGGAAGCTAAATCCTTTCGTGAAGTTCAGAAAGTTGAGCCATCCATACTCATTCCTCTCTTACGTCCTTGAAGATGGAATCATGATACATCCATTGGTTCTACTAGTTGACAGCATTTTCAAGAACTATAGTGCAGGATATAGAGGTGGCATGTTTGGTAGCAACAACGCTAATAATGAACCAAACCCATTGGATTCATTAAAGTACGAAATCGAGCATCTTGATCTCGAGAGTTCAATGACTCTGGATCTTTCAATGAATGATAAGGACCAAGAAGACCTCAATTTCATCGATTGGTTGTTCAAACTAGGAAAAGTGAGTGTCCTAAAGAACAGTTATTTCAAGACACCAGTATTTGAGTACCTCAAAGTGAAGAAGAATCTCAGGAAAGTTGAAGCTATTCTAGCTACTCCGTTCAAAGATGACATCTTCATTAATGTGCCTAGGATCGTTAAGTTCGTCCAAGAAGCCTACAGTGTTGAACTAAATGTAGAAGGATTTGACTCAGCTGATGATTTCCAGGAGATCGACGATGACATGAGGTCCCATCACGAGGAATTCGCTCTTAGAATCACAGGAAAGAAAGGCGCTAAAGCACGTCTTTATGATCATGAAGCAGACTCAGAGAAGTACCTTGACAAAAGAATCCCTGAACTAGAGGAAGAAATGAAGAAATCTCTGGACAAGAAGGGCAAGAAGCTAGAGTGCATTATTGACTCTAACCAAGATACCGAAAAGCATTGTGTGGTGGTCAATGATGAGTTTGAGACCAAGCATTACTTCGATGTGGTCATGAAAAAAGTTGATATAAAGAAATACTACTACGGACTTGATAACTTCTACTGTATGCAGATCTTGAAGGACGAAGTGAAGGACCTCTATATCCTCTGGACTAGATGGGGAAGGACAGGGACTTATGGGCAATATCAAAGAACTCCTTTTAAAAATATCATACTTGCTAGGGATGAATTTTGTCGAGTTTTCAAGCAGAAATCCGGCTGGAAATGGGAAGAAGTAGATAACTTTGTTAGGTCACCTAAGAAATACGAGCTCAAGAGACTTGGAGGAAAGCTCTTGATAAAATCAGACCACAAGCTGAAGTTCAGCAGCAGAGACATTGACTATCAGCAATTGGTAGTTGATATGAACAGTATAAATTCCTCTGTCAAGCTAAAGTGTGGAGAAGAATTAGTGAAGTTCCTTGATCCCCTCCTTACCAATCAGCAACAGCTAGATAGTCTAGAGTCCAACAAGTTTGATAAATGCTTGTTCTTATTTTCTCCAAAGGACAAGGCAACTATTGAGAAAGGTATCAAGATTTTAGAAAAAATCAAGAAAAAGCTGGAGCAAGGAAATAGGTGTAGAATCAAGCAGAACTTTGAAGATTACGTGGTTGTAATGGACCAAGTCAGCAAGCTCAATAGCGAATATCTTGAAGTAATTCCAAAGAACAATCCAGAAATGATTAGCTGCATCCTGAATTCTTACGAGTGTGATAGTGAAATCAATATTTTGAAAGCACTGTTTGAGACATCATTCCAGTTCAGAGCTGTGCTTGGAGCTTATGAAAATGCAAATAAGGTCAACCCTTATGACTATATTTTAGGATCTCTAGATGTTGGCTTAGAAGCCCTTCATCCTGAAAGTGAAGAAACTAATCTTATCTTGCACAACTTGAATTCTCAGCAGAACTCTCGTATGACTTTGAAGAATATCATAAAAGTGACTGGAGCAAAATATACTAGTAAAGAGGACAAAATTTTCTTGGCAACTGGGAATCATAGAATGTTGTGGCACGGAACTCCAGCTTCAAATATTATCAGTATTTTGAATAAAGGTCTGAGGATCAAGCCACCTCATGGGGGCTCTCATGGTAGCAGATATGGTGACGGAATCTACTTCTCAGACTCCTTTGATCTCTCTCAATGCTATGCAAGTCAGAGTGGGAATGACAAATATGTATTGCTCTGTGAAGTTGCAACTGGGACTACTGCTCATATCCTTCACATGGATAACGAGGCCATCACAAATATGGAAGGTATTGACTCAGTGAGAGCTATGGCTTCTCAAGGGCCAAATTGGGACTCTATGCTCTATCATAAGGGTGTCATCCACCCTGTTGGAAGAAGTATTAACTATGAGAATGCTTTAATCTCTCACAAGGGAGATAAGGTCTACAACAATTACTCTGAATTTGAACTTCATGTCAAAAAGAAAGTAAAAAATGAGATTTCGAAAGAAATCGAGATCAGTGAGAGCGAATCTGAAGAAGACATGGAAATTAGCAGCGACTCTGAAGGAGTTACTATGACTAAAAGAAAGTCCGCTGCTAACCAATTCGTTCTTTTTAGAGGTGACAGAGAAGCACTTCATCCAAATGAAGTAACAGCTGGAGTTAGCAAGTTGATTAAGAACAATAGAGACAATGCTTGGGCCTTCCAGTATCAGAATCATAGAAATGAGTGGATTATCTATGACAAGGCTCTTGTAAGAGTCAGATACATCGTGCAGCTTGAAAGTTCATACTAAGCTGTTACATGAAAGAGATGGGATGACTTTGTTCCCATAATTACTTGATAATTCCAATTACTTAAATATATATAGGGGTTTTGGGGTTTTGGGGTTTTGGGGTTTTGGGG